AACTTTTTCAGAAAAAGTTTTTCTACTACCCTTATCTCAAAATAAATGTCATTTCTTTTACTTTAAATTTATCCCAAATTAATATTATTTTTCATTTTTTATAATAGATATATTTTTTCTTAATTTAATCATATTATTATTTATTCATTTTAATTAATCATCTAATCATAAAAATTTCTTTTTATTTTTTAATCTTATAAATAAATATAAATATTATCTTTAAATTTTTAATTTTAAATAATAATAATAATTATTATTTTAAGATATAAAGAGTAACAACTATAAACCAAACCGAACATGCTCTCAACAGATTTTGAGGACATAACTAACATAACGGTTTCTCCTTTGTTTTTCATGGTGTGTAATTGATAAATGACACCATCCATGCATTCAAGCTCATTCTTATCATGCCACGTCATTATATAAAAATTATTTTCAAAAAAGGGAATGGAGCAGAGGCCATTGATTGGGCTGTTGTTCATTTGTCATGGTTGTCTTTGGCCGTTAGCAAAATTAAAAATGGAAAATGATAAAAATTACCAAAAATGTAGGAATCCACAAAATCCACAAACATTTTTTTTTCCTATATGAACAATCCACAACTATTATTATTACCATCAAAAAAAAAACATAAAATGGAAATATCAGACCTTGGTCTTACGTTCAGGCAAATGAGTGAACTCGAAATCGATATAAACAAAGGCATGGTCAACTTCAGGCAGTTGGTCTAGCTTCTCCTGCAGTGTCTCACTGGTGTTGTGTGTGCCTTGTTCAGGAGCATCATGCTTGTCTTCAGGCAGGGCTATGTCTACCTCTACAGCATGGTGTTAATATCTTAGCTAGAATATATGGAGCTCCAATGACCTAATTGACGGGAAAGTGAACGAGGAGAACTTGAACACAAGTCCAGCAAGGATCTTTATGCGAAGGGTAATATGTCGGATATATTAGAAAATAAATGAACAAGGAGAACTCAAACATGAGTCTGACAAGGACCTTTATGCAAAGAGTTACTATTTGTTTTACTTAGAGTTTTTTTTAATGACCTAATTATTATATTTTAAGAATTTAATGATCATTATTTTGTCTTTTATTAACAAAAAAAAATTATTTTAATTGATAATTTTTAATCTAGAGTTTTAACCTTTGAACTATACAAGACAAGAAGCAATACATATCTTATTATTTTCTGAGTACAATTTCCTTTTAAAAAAAGGGGGGAAAAAATTATCACCCCCCTTCATTTTACCATTCTTGCAATCAGCACCCTATGCTTTTGTTTAAAGGTTTTTTTTTTTTTTTTTTCCTGAAAATAGGCAATGGATTTTGTTTTAAGTTATTAGTTGAACAAATTAAGGAAATGTGAATGGTAGATTCTTCGTTATTGTTACTGTAAGTGGACTCTCTCCTTTAATTTATTCGAAAGAAGAAAATTCTCACGGAAAAAAGAAAAAGACAATGATACACTCATGATGACATATTTATGAGACTAATGACATCATTAATATGTTAATTTTAAAAAGGTTAATGATATAAAAAAATTTACCTATATAATTTTTACATATTAAGATTAAATATATATCATATTATATATTTTAATAAAATAAAATAAGTAAAATATTTTTATATAAATTTTATATATCATTAAAATATATATAATATTACAAATTTAATAAAATAAAAAATAATTATTTTTTAACCTTCAAAAAAATTTAATTATGATTCTTATTAAGTTAACATAATAATATAACATAAATCATGTTATTAATTTCATAAATTCATCCCCTTGTGCATCCTTATCATTATTTGGAAGAAAATACCCAAAAGGAGCGCAATATGGGGCAATAGGCATGTACCTAAACGGAAGGCTTGTGTAGGATGTCGTGATAATATTCTATATTCTTTATTATTTAAGGTGGCCAGGTGGGCAATCCATATGGTACGATTCATCTTATCTTGATCAGTTTTGCATTTTGAGAAAGCAAATAAATATCATTACCAATATACTTGATTTTAGAGAAATAGAGTGGAGAAATTAAAAGGTTGTGAATAATTGAAGAAATTAAAAAAATTAAAAAAAATAAATAACTCCCTTTGTCTCCCCTCTCTCATTTTTTTTTTTATAATTAAATAAAAGAATATCACCTCTTTCTTATTGCTTTTCCTCAAACTTAACATATTCTGATTGAGAGTAAGGGTACAACGGAACAAGTTTGTGAAAGTCTCCAAATCTCACTCGTACATGTATCATCAATCCATGTTTGGGATGGTGAGAGGATGGGGTAAATCCAAATCTGTTATTTTACCCCGTCCTAACCTCACCTAATAAAATATATCTATCTCCTACCTCTCACTCGTGGACCTTGGCCATATGATTAAGTTGAATAAGATTGTAATCATAATTTCTATCCCTCTTCTCTCTCCTCCATGATTTTCTCTCCATCCTCCCAATTTCTTCGACATGACAAATCTATGGAGCAATGTCGACACTGATACGCTAGAATTTAACCAGAATCCTTTTTCTTCTTCCTCTGTTATCTTCGACGACAGCGCCGAATTTCACTGTTATGGTGTTGAAAAAGAGAGACGCAATTAATAAGGAAATTAGGCCCTGGAATAGGCAAATTTATAACAATTTGATGTTAGAAAAGTATCAAAATAACATATCTAAAAGTACTTAGGTATTTGGATCCAATTAGATCACGTATAAATGTATTCTTTTATTTTCTGAATAATAATTTGAATTCGACTTTTCTGAATTTGTTAAAAAAATTAATAATAACATATCTAAAGTGTTGTTGTGTCTCAAATCAGAGTATGTCAAAAAAAAGAGTGATTGGAACATATTCGAAATTCATTTGGTGGGTGGTCGCAAAGGCAATCGTGGGTTGTTTGGAGGAGATCTGATGAGGGTGAGAGGGAAGTAAAAAATTGTACTTAATATCATAATAATCTCTACAATTAATAATGTTTATTTTTTGCACAATTTTTTCAGGAAACAAACAGGAATTGAATATGTTATTTCTACTTTTTGTTATTTTGAATACTTATATTATAAATAAGTTAATTATTTATCAAAAATGTATGTAAATTAATTTAAAGGTTTGTCAAACTTGCATAGATATAAGTTAAAAAAATTTTAAATATATTTTTTATATATTAATATACATAAAAAATAAAAAAAATTATAATTAATTTTAACATCTATGATATATAGTTTATTAAATAATTGGTAAATTAATATTAATTTTTAGTTTTATTATGTGTATTAATAATAAAAAATATACTCTTATTATTTATCCTAAAAGTACATAATAGAAAAACTTTCAATTTAATTATAGTGTATACAAATGAATATACTATCATCCAGTTTAACCTTAAAAAATGTTTTGATCTAATCTAAGTTTGTTTTGTTAAATAGTCAACAAACTTAAGTTTAATTTGACAACGTTAATATGTAACTATAAATATAGGTTCTTTAATTTTTTTAACACCCTGAAAATATATATAATACATTTTATATATTTAATATTTATTTTAATTAATATTTTACATATTTTTAAAATAATAAAAAGACATAAAACTAAAAAGCAAAATACCAAAACGTATCGTGACACGAAACCTCAATATACATTAGTTTATTCAATCTAATCCTATCCTGCACTCCAAATGTGGCCCGTCCTCAAAGGGGAGCGCAGTCTAAGAAATATGCCAGTAAGGGTATTACCATTACACCTTGGCCTTGTGTTCATGTTTATGAGTAAACTCAAAATCAATATGCACAAAGGCTCGCTCTACTTCAGGTAGTTGCTCCAGCTTCTGTTGCAGTTCCTCACCAATGTTATGTGCCTTATTCAGGAACATGTCTTCGGGTAGCACTATGTCAACC